TAACAACACGCAGCACGCCTTGTGGCTACCTCGCAGCCTGGACCCACCATCTCGACCAAAGCCCGAGCTCTTTCATCAGAGGATATTACCCCCGGTTCGTTGGATTCGCTGGGTATCCCGTTTTGAGAACCATTTCACTTTATGCAGACAAGCATTGCGAAGGTGGCCATGGAATAGCCCCCAAAGTTGGCTAACATGTAAAAATCTCCTTTCTCCGGATGACCGCCCGAAATCACATTGCAAAGATAACTCGCCACGTTTCGAGGGAAACTGGCTGGACCACGACACCACATCTATCGTATAGCCCTGACATTGCTCCATCGTACTATCACCTCCTCAGCTCCCTGAAGCAGCAGCTAGGAGAGAAAAAAGTCAGTAAATACAACCACCCCAAAAACGACCTCTCCGAACTTTTCATCCACAGCTTCATTCGTTCTGGGAGGAATGCATCCATTCGTTCCCTAGCAAATGGATGCATATCAGTGATTATGATGGTGGTTATTTTTTGATCAATTGTTTTTAAGGAAAGAGAAAACTTGAAGAAATCAAAGTGTGAAATTCGGCCAGAAATTACGGGTCAACCCAATGGTATTAATATCAGTCAGGAGTCAATAATATTGGATATGTGGAGTAGAAATTTTCTACGAAAACTTGAAGATATGCTTCTAATCTAAAAAAATGAATATGCTATGGAAAATATACATTAATCATCGTGTCGAAAATGCTGGTAAAAATACGGCTGCTAATAATGGAGATAGAGTATACTGCATTAATGCAGAGTATGCTGGAAACAATTGTTGGTACTCTGGCATAGAATATCTGTTATACGCCATATCTCGAAGTCAGATTAGGCGCCTCTATAGATTTGACGTGGCCCTCACCGCACTTGATAGAAGCCGGTTGAATACACTTGATATCAGCAAAGCATGTTGGAAGCAGCTTATCCGCGCAACTTCTATCAAGTGCGGCGGCCGCCACGTCAAACTTATAGACACGCCTAATCTGACTCCGAGATATGGAGTATGTTTAGTGAACTACTTATAAAGAAATAGTTTCTTCTCTTGAAAAACACACATTCAAACATAATAAAGTTGTTCCTGGAGGAGTAAATTTCAGTCCACTATTAGTTGATCTCACTCTGTCACTCATGAGGTCAGTTTGGTAAGATAGGTTAAATAGGGACACGATAAAATTGTCACACTATATACAGGGTGGCCAGAAATTACGGTAGCAATATGAAGCGGTCATGGATCTGCACAACTACGAAAAGACAAGTGGAAAACAGAAACATGTTCACTAAAGGGTAGTAAAGACTACATGGTTCTTCCGACTAGCCACTATCCGCTTTGAAAAAGGAATGAAGTCTTCCAGGGAATGAGCTGACCGCGGCGTGTTGATAGACGGCCTCAAGTGCGTTCCAGGCATTATGAAGCGGTTTCTTGAATTAACGTCTACCATGATGTCAGCAGCAGGTGCTCGTCTTCCCCACTCTTTGTTCAGCGTAAACTAGCATATTTGAGTGGGAACTCTAGTTGGCCACTTTCCAAACGCAGTAATCTCTCGGCAGTTCAGCTGCAAGAATTCGCACAAATCTCCTCGTGAGCCGGTTCTGCAGAAATGTTCAATGAGGATGCTTGTGCTTCACTTGGTTTAAGGAATTATTTTAGTGAGGAAGAGTTCGAAATAATTCTTTCTCTCAGATTTTACGCTTTGTGAAACAAAAGTCAAATTGAAATGATTTTCGGTTTGATCATCGCAAAAACCTTCACTGTTTCCGTACCCAGTGATTGAGCTTCCGCTTGTTTGAATGCAGTATCTCTCGCTGTATCTAATAAAGATCAACTCGACTGTGATTACTGTCCAGCTCCATTTCCTTTTCGTCACGTGCCTTGGTCACGTTGTGTTTTCTGACGAACACTTGCAAGGAAATGCGCCAGTGCGCTAACACGGGGAGAAACAACGGGATGAATGTGCTCGAGTCCACTGCACTTCTAGAGTATCACTGCTCCGTGCCTACTTACTCAATATTGTTCTTGCTAACAGCAGAAGCTTCTCTTCAAGGTCCAGGCCAATCATTCCTACCACACAGTCAACTGTTCTTCGCAATGGTGATTGTTGCAGGTTTCCTGAAGATCCTGATTCCACCAGACACGTTGACAAAGCAAGCGAGTCGTTATTTCATGAAGAGCCAAAGGCTTGAACAATCCAAACTAGATAAATTTCGTGTGGTAAATTTGAAGTATGAACATCGTGTTAATAGAATCAAATGCGCAAAAGCTACACTCGGAACTCCACCCGTTTAATTTTAGAATTGTATGCGGTACGCTCTTGTTGCCGTAATTTCTGCTCACTCTGTAGATACAGTCGATATCTCGAAGTCTGATTGGGCGTGTCACCGGAAATGACGTGGCAGCCACCGCACTTGATAGAAGTTGCGCGGATAAGCTGCTTCCAACACGCTTTGCTGATATCTGGCGGAGTATTTTATCCACACATCTATCAAGTGCGGTGGCTGCCACGTCATTTCCGGTGACACGCCCAATCAGACTTCGAGATATCGACTGTATACAGTACTCGCCGTTTGAAATCGAAAATTCACGCGAATAACGCGAATCCTCGTTAATTTCGTGAATTCGTTATAACTCGGTTCAAAATTGAGCTTTCGAGAATCCGAAGATATCTTTGAATTCAGCTCGTCGGACACTATAAGAATGTGCTTTGATACTTTGGAAAAGCTCCATATAGGATTGCGCCATGCACTCGATTTTCATCTCAAAAAGTAGTTGCTCGCATGTGATGTGTATATAATCCCGCTTATGCGGGCTGACCGCTACACACAGAGAAGGGCCTCAAAACTTACCCCAGAATGCGCCACGTACTCAATCTCATCCACTACATTGTGAGATTAGATGAATGTTATTTTCCGAATTCTTAGATCTTCATTTCGTTTTTAAGCGCTTACTGGCTTTACGTGTTTCCCTCTGCTCTCAATATCCCAGGTGAACTCGCAGACCTGAAATGTGCCCCGTTAGCTTCCCCGTGAAAAATGCTATCGAATGATATGCATTACTTCCCCCAGTTGAAACTTTGGTTTTTCACCGTTTTCAGCCTTCCCCTATTGCCGATTGGGCACAGAGTCAACCCTGCGTTGCGCAGTTCGCAACGGCACGTTGAGAGATCCTCAACGCACGCTGTATGGGCGGAGACGCAGACGGCTCGAGCATGCGAGTGTGAATGTTCGCGCGAGAGAACGTGTCTAATCGGGCGAAACTGCGCAACGTGGCCGTTGAGAACTGCGCAACGCAGGGTTGACTCTGGTTGGGCACTATCCCACGATTACTGCCCCAAAATCTCAAAGTTTCATTTTTCGTCGAAACTTTGTCTATTGGGGTAATTCGATGCCCTGATTACGAATATGACATTCATTTTTGATGCTGGTGTCATTTGGCGCCATTTGGCGCCGTTTGGCGCCAATTTGGCGCCACGCTGTTTTCACCAAATCTGCTGAAACTTCGTCATTTGGGGTTATTTGGGGTCCTGATTACGAAAACGACACCCGTTTTTGGCTGGCATTTGGCGCCATTTGGCGCCGTTTGGCGCCAATTTGGCGCCACGGCTGTTTTCACCAAATCTGCTGAAACTTCGTCATTTGGGGTTATTTGGGGTCCTGATTACGAAAACGACACCCGTTTTTAGCGCTGGCGCTTTGGCGCTTTGGCGCCGTTTGGCGCCAATTTGGCGCCACAGCTGTTTTCACCAAATCTGCTGAAACTTCGTCATTTGGGGTTATTTGGGGTCCTGATTACGAAAAGACACCCGCTTTTAGCGCTGGC